TGCATAATGGAAATTTAGGCGATAGCAATACATCGGAATGACCTCAAGGTCATCTTCTGTAAAAACTGTGTAGTTCATTACATATAAAAGACTTATCAGATTATAAAAGATAATGATACTGATATAAACCTTATTTTTCACTTTGTTGATACATGTACAAGTTTAATGGAACAATTATATTTTACCAGTGGTATCAACTACTGGAGTCTTCAGTTTAAAAATGTGGTCATAATTTGTACATGTTTTTAACTAATATATCAAATTATTTAAGCTACCATTTCTTTATTCTAGGTATCCCAGTTCACCATGATTTTAGGACAGCTAGTAATACTACAGTTGAATTTATTGGACCATTAGAGGTAAATTGTAAACTTTCATTTATCTCTGAGGTCAGTCTATGTCTAGCAATTGACATACCTGTCATCTGACCCGGTATTTAAAAAAAAAAAAAATAGAGCTCACCCAAGATTTTGCTATAGTTGCCTGGGTGATCACATTACCCGTTATTTCATCATTTGGAACGTTTTTACCCATTTTTCTTGTGCCTTGAGATCTTTTCAGTAAGAAATTAGACAGAAATGTTGAAACCATGTGGCAAGCATTCAAAAAAACAATCCAAAACACCATAGATAAGAGAGTACCAACAAAAATGAGCCAAGGAAAACACACACATCCATGGATGAACACCACCATTAGAAGGAAGATAAATAAAAAAATAAAGCCCACAAGAAGGCCAGGAAAACGAAAAAGAAAAGAGACATGGATAGATATAAGAGACTCAAACAGGAAACACAATGGGAAGTCAGGCAAGCCAACAAAAAATATATGGAAGAAGTAAGCACCAATTATAAAGACAACTTGAAGAAATTCTGGTCATATATAAAGAGCAAAGGTCAAGAATGGACAGGTGTAGCACCATTAAAGAACAAATTGGGATTTCTTCAAAGCGACAATAAAAGCAAAGCTGAGATACTCAATGATCAATTCCAGTCAGTATTCACAAAGGAAAACCTAAATAACTCTCCTAACAAAGGAAAGAGTCCATATTCCACCATGGATGATATCAAAATCAGCACTAAGGGAGTACACAAACTACTCAAAAACCTTAAACCACACAAAGCTACTGGTCCAGACTCAATTCCATCCTTCATCCTGAAAACAGCGGCAGACCAACTCGCTCCTTTTCTAACAGATCTGTACCAAACATCCCTTAACACCGGAGAAGTCCCACAAGATTGGAGAGATGCTAACGTGGTACCCCTATTCAAGAAAGATGAAAGACATTTAGCTTCCAACTATAGACCTGTTTCATTAACTTCCATCACATAGTCCACAGCAGTATTATGGACCATTTTGACAAACACAACATACTTACCAACGCACAGCATGGATTTCGCAAAAAACGATCATGCGAATCACAACTTATAATAACAATCAACGACATTGCAAAAAAACTGGAAAAAGGATCCCAAGTTGACATCATCCTTCTTGACTTTGCAAAGGCATTCGACAAAGTTCCGCACCACGGCCTTTTACACAAACCAGAATTTTATGGAGTAAACCCTAAAGCTACAAAATGGATTCAATCATTCCTTGAAAACAGAATGCAAAGCGTAATATTAGAAGGAGCTGTCTCCTCTCAAGGCCCAGTACTATCAGGCGTCCCCCAAGGCACAGTTCTTGGACCTCTATTGTTTCTGACCTACATAAATGACATGCCAGAAACATCAACGTCATCTGAAACAAAACTTTTTGCAGACGATAGCCTACTTTTTAGAACAATAAACAACCAGGCAGACAGCAACCTTTTGCAAAAAGACTTAACATCATTGGAAGAATGGGAGAATAAATGGCAAATAAGTTTTAACGCCAAAAAATGCATAGTTATCACAATAACGCAGAAAAACAAAGAAGTGAGAGATACATCATATAAACTCCACGGACATACACTAGACAATGTTGATGCAAGCAAATACTTAGGCGTAACTATCAACAACAACCTATCCTGGGATAGACACATTGATGATATTGTAGGCAAAGGAAATAAAACATTGGGATTTATCCGAAGAAATCTGAAAGACTGCACAAAACCAGTAAAAGCAGCAGCATATACAGCCCAGCCATAGTAAGACCTTCAGTGGAATATGCCTGCACAGTTTGGGATCCATCGAGCCAAAAAAAGATCAAATCATTAGAACAAGTTCAAAAAAGAGCAGCAAGATTTGTTCATAATAACTACTCAGACCGAACACCTGGCTGTGTAACACACATGGTTAAACAATTACAGTGGGAAAGCCTGGAAGAATGTAGGAAAACCAACAGACTATGTATGCTATTTAAAATCCAGCACACAACAATATCTAATACCCAACGACAGCCGGACCAGAGGTATAGGCCGCTTTTACCAAGAAAGAACAAAAACTGACACCTATGGACAGCCATTCTTCCCAAAGACCATCAGGGATTGGAATCAACTTCCAGCTAAAACAACATCGGCTGACTCGATAGAGGGATTCAGAGCTGCTCTGAAAGCAGGCTCTGGAAGGAAGTAAACAGTATAGCGTGTATATAATTTTAATTGTAAAGTGGCGAACGTTTTAAATGTAAATAACTTTGAGAAGACTTGCTGCCTTGCCCGGCACTGCGCTAAGTTTTCGCGGGACCATACACATTCAATATGAATTCGGTTCCTTACTTGGAAGAAGAAGAAGAAGAAATGCTGTGTTTACTGTCAAATTAAGTGACTCATTTAGTGCATGGCTTCACTTGACAGCTTTGGTGTCAAACACACTGTTAATTTACACTAATCTTAGTCAGTTTACTCCTGGTTTGCCCACTTTTAATTATACCAATTATCCATAAGTAAAGAAAACAAAAAAGACAAAAGGTTTAATGAGCATACAATTGTATAGTCTGTTCCAACTTAGGTATATAGTTTATCAATGTTTTCTATATATTCAGGTAATTTTAATTTTGTAATTCCATTTTCATTCGTAAAGGAAAATAATAAATAAATCGTATATTTTTTCTCACAATAATCTAATATCAATTCAATCGATTATTTAACATTCATGTGAATGAATGAATCTTTTATTTTCATAAACTAAATACAAAGTTACAGAGAATGGTACATATATACATGTTTACACAAATAGACTTACTACATGCATGTGTGAAATACTACAAGTCAGTTACATATTTTAACTTGGAGGACATACTTTCACAATCATAATCTGAATAAATTTACACAATTTTTCTAATTGTACAATATTTGTAGAATTGAAAAAAACATTTAATTTGTATGTGTTTGGATTTTTCCAAAAATAATTAAATAACAAGTTTGTTCTATCTGTTTAAATGCTTCTCAAGTCATAATGTAGTGGTATTCGTCACCAATGTCAGTTGAGTTACAAAGAAGGCATACTCAATATTCTCTTGCAAGACCCTGCCACCTTCCCATCTCAACTGGCAATCGGTGACTACCACACCTAAAAAGTCACAAAACATTATATTCACAAAGTCACAAATTGTAAATTAAATTCTGTTGATGTTTTTAATTGTGTCATTAGCAAAGCTTGGTTACTGAACAGTTGCATTTATATTATATCATGACTATTTGTTAGAATTAATTGGATATTTTTATTTAATTTCAGAACAATGTATTTATTAAAATATAATAAAAATAGTTTAATAAATAAAAAGATATTTAAATTTAAATGGCTATTTATTCTAAGCTTTGGTTTCATTATTTTATTTTTTCCAGAATGTACCAATAATTAAAACTATTTGTTGATAAATTGTAAAATAATAAACATTTTTATACACATTTTTACGATTTTTTTTTATATTTGTCAAATTCATTACTTTTTCCTGCTTAAAACTACAATGTATATCAAATATAATTTTTTTTTGCACATTTTCTTTGATTTAATAGCAGAATATAGTATCTTTTATAAAATTTAAAGGTAATATAAAAGGTAAAAAAATATGACTATAATTTAGAAATAAACTATAATTGTTAAAACAACAATCTCCCCTATGTTTACATATGCATGTAATTAAAAGTGGGCAAACCAGGATGACACCTCTTAGTCTAAGGTCAAAAATAATTTGTGTATTTCAAAGATGTTTGACAAAATATTCAAGTTACTCCCTCTTTTTTGCCACTTTTCACAGTATACGCCCTAAATTGATGTTTCTCAGTAAAAAGATTAAATTTAAGGCAAATTGAATCCAAAGATATATTAGAATAATACTTCACTGATTTTTACTTTCTTAGGACAACTAGAAAATTAATATTTTGAAAATTATTTTTTTCATCTCTACTTCCTTTAAATGCTCAAATTTTAAATTGTATCATCTATTAATAATTATATATGAAGTAAAGCTGCTTACGGATGTTAAGTTATAATAATTCAAGTATCATATGGTTTATAGGTTGATGTAATACAATGTGAATAATACAAATAAATGGGGGATGGCTTGAATTTATATAGTATTATAAATTAATATTTCAATGGTTAATAAATGCAATGAAAAAATTAATTTAAGTTTTGAATTATTTTCAGTAAATACTTAAGCATTTTTTGGAAACTGTTCGATGTAAAATATAAAAAATATCCCCTAAATACAGCTGAAAAAAGTTTGTACGTGTTACGACCTGAGATTTTCTTCTTCAATGCAGGTCATAACCTGCATTTTCATATTCAGAGGTTGACAGGTATGTATTGAATCAAACCCATATTTTGATATTATATACATAAAAAAATGAATAGAAGATATGGTACACAAAATATACATCAGTTGATGATTAAAATATGGACCTCCTGTGAAAAGTAAAATGGAATAAAAAAAAAAAGACAGATATCTATAAACAATGATGTATTTTTCAGGTCAGGGATTTCATTAAACCAGATCCATGGTGTGGTAAAACCAAGGGTTGCTTTATGAATTGTACAGAAACTGAATGTGATTACATCATCAGCTGGACTCATGATTCACAAACTATAACATATGAAATACAAACAAAAGTAAAGATGGGTACTTCTGTCAACTCTTGGGCTGCCATTGGATTATCAACTGATCAAAAAATGGTAAGCCTTCATAATAAGTAATCGGAAAGGGTCAGACTATGGTGTATATTTTATAGAGTTAAAGCGGTATTTTGAAGGTCGTAATTACAGTTGAAGGATGTAAGTAGCAGTCTTTAGTATAACATCTTTCTAACATGGAAATATGATGTTTAGTCTGACATTGTCATTATATTTTCAGTTATGAGATAGTTGCACGTGGTGTATGTATAACATTTTGAAGATGGAAGCTGTATTATGTCGTGTATATTGCATTATGTTGTATATTTATTCAGGAGGAAAGTAGTATTTCAATTGTGTATATTAGACTATAGGTAGTACCTTTATTGGATGGAAGTTGTATAATGTAGTGTAATTTATTCTATGTTATATCTTTTTTGGGATGAAAGTAGTATTCTGATGTGTATGTCAGACAACATGATAACTTTTTAAGGATTGATGTAGCATAATGATTTTTACATGTGATTACTTTCTAAACTTTTTCAGGATGGAAGTTGTTTAACAATATGTGTATCTCACAATGTTGTATGTTTTGCAGGATGGAAGTTGTTTTACAATGTGTGTATTACACAATGTTGTAGGTTTTTGCAGGATGGAAGTAGTATTATGATGTGTGTATTACACTATGTTGTATGTTTTGCAGGATGGAAGTTGTTTTATTGATGTGTGTTTTTCACAATGTTGTATGTTTTTCAGGATGGACATAGTATTATGATGTATGTATTGCACTATTTTGTATGTTTTTCAGGATGGAAGTAGTATTATGATGTGTATGTCAGACTTTGGATTGATGAGAACAGAACTTGGATTTACAACTGGTCATGCTTATTCAAAGATCGATGATGTATGTTATTTGTATAATCTATTTACATTGTATATTTTCATGACTCAAAATGTACTGGCAGATTTATTGTCTTGCCTAAAGAAGTTCCAGCCATGTGGTATGCATCTACAATTTGTAAAAATTTGTGCTTAGGTCAGTTAAAAGGGAACCACTAATTGTATGTCAATGATATTTGGTATGCAGTTGTATAAACATAGGCACATCTTATTTCCATGGAGATTTTTTAGCCCTGTCTCCTCAGTTATGCTTTATTGACTTTGAAACTTTTTGCATAGTTTACATGTTAAAGCTTGTGATTTTAGTTTAGTTTAAGATTAGCCACTTATGGTAAATTCTTGTGTAGAAATTCCAAAAGATAACATATTTTACATTATAGTAGTAAATAAACCAATTATAAGATGTTTTGGCCACTGGCCTTCTTTAGTTTCTCTACTATCTTGTTAAACTACGTGGAAGACCAAGTTACTTTTCACTGTGTTCAGTTCCTTTAAAGTGTTCTACTTTCTTTTTGCAAAAAAAAAATATTTTGAAAGGAGTAAAGGCAATAAGGCCCTTATTTGGCCCAAATATTAGCGCAAATTTAAAAGTTATCATACATATTCTTAAATTTATCTTAACTAGACTACGGTAAAAGTTTTTCGAAAATAAAAACAAATTTCATATTTAACGAGTTACCATGGCAACAAACTATGACTAAATTTGTATATTTTGTAAAATCTGTTGATTTTCCTTGTTTTCGTCTAATTTTAAGTATATTTTAGATTGGCAAAGTATGTGAGCACCCAAGAAACAACTTCATATTTGGTGAGATTATGGCAATAGTTATAACAAAACTTCTCTTAAATTATTTTGTTGTTTCTTGGCTGCGCACGATGTTTCCACAATGGAAATGAAGATGGAAAACTGCATAAATTCTGTGTTTTTCATCTTTTCATGAAAACAGAACTTATTATGACGTAATTGTGACATCATCAGATAATAAATGTTATGTTTTTCATTTATATTTCTTGACTTTATGCATATCCAAACATTATGTGCAAATTTGAATTAGTTGTCAAACATTTTATTTTCTTGGGCCAAAACCGGGCCTTTATGCCCCTACTCCTTTCCTATAAATTTTCATATCTAAGTCATCTACATTGAAGAAGTATAATTAGTGATCAAAAGTTCACTGGGAAAAACTGACCTGCATACTTGTGAGGATTTGTACTTCTGTGTGGTTGTGGTTTCTTAATGATAAAGTTACATAAGCATTTTTACAAAACTGTTTTTTTTTTCTTTGAAATATCATTTGAAAAAAAACTTTCTATGTTCTATGTTGTATAGTAAGTTTATCAAAATCTATTTGAGCAATGATCTATTTATCAGTCTATTCTTTCGTTTATCTAGTTGAAATATTCCCTAACTTTCCTCAATGGAAGTACAGATGGCAATATTTTTCGATGCAGAATGAAGAGGGACATTCCATCAACAGATGACAAAATCTTTGATTTAAGAGATAATTGGTACCTCCTGTTTGCCCATGGAACTCTTAGTAAAGGTAAAAAAAACTTTAATAATGAATTTTAAATTTCTTATATTAGCAACTACAAGTTTTCTATTTTAAGAACAGAGGATGTTTTAAAAAGATATTATGAATATGTCAATGAAACAGTAACTTACCACCTGAGAAAAAACTTATCAAGCAATGTTAGACATTGTGGTCTGTTCCTAAATTTTCTATTCCTGGAAATTAATTTCAACCGAAATCTCAAATTAGCTTCAATATTAAAAACCATAAAAATCATCTTTACCATCTTTGAAATAACAAAAATTTTAGAAAGGAATTTTGAAATTTTTATTTGCAATTCCAGATTATTTCACGCATGTAATGTATTTTTTTTTTTTTATCATACTTCATGCACTATGACAAATTAAAAGTCTTCCTTTTTGTCTTGCATTTGGACTTAATAGTTGCATTATACTATCAAAATTACAAAAAGGTGAGACATATCTCTGTGTCAACAGTTTATGAATTTATGAAAAAAACATTAGCAGTGTTAATATTATTTTTATTTTAAACCATGAATTTACAGTAGTTTACCTATGTTCAAATATTGTTAATCTTTTCAAAATATACAAAAGCAAGATAAAAACTAAACCTGAATGAATTGTATAAATTCTAAAAGGAGCAAGACTGGGTGCATTTACAGCCAAAGTGTCTCCTGCTATGCATGCATACTAAAATATATCATTATCTTTTTAATACATGATATCACTATTTTATTAATGTCAAAATATGTTTTATTTAAAGGTTTTCCCCAACATCATGAATTTAAGACTACAACGATGAGACCAATGAACTTTCTCGCACCACTTTCAGGAAAACACTTGACATCTAAACAGTATGTAAGTGTAACATTCTATGGAAACCTAAATAAAGACTTTATTTAAGAAAGTTTATAATGTATAAAAAAGCTGTTTCTGTTCAATATTCTTTTTGTATTGTTTTGACTTATTTTTTTGTTATACAAAAATGGTATTTACTGTATATTATTAACATTCAGCAGCAACTTCTTTGAACTGATAGGATTGATTTTAATACCGTACATATGGCATTTTTTCTGCTACATTATTTTCATGATTTATCTTGAAGATCTGATTAACAGTTAAATGTCGTGATTTTTGTATTGGTTGTCATGTGTTTGATAGTTAAATCTATTTTCACATATGAGTTGTCATTTCTAGAAATGAAATCTGAGGAATGTTTTACAGTTTACTGTGAAACTTAAGGAATAGGTGTTTTTTAATGTCATATCATAAAGGATTACAGCATACAGGTTGCATTGAATTGTAAACTTAGTTTTATGCATCAATAGGATAATACTCACATATTTTATAGATAACATAGACTTAAAACCTGATATAAAGCAATGTTTGAATGATAATCATGGTATAATTCAGGATACAGATATGATTCCACCAGATCCTGAGTGTGGTAAGACAAAGGGATGTCTAACCAACTGTACAAACACAGATTGTCAATATATTGTCAGCTGGACACATGATCATCAAACAGCCACTTTTGAAATACAGACTAAAGTAGCGCCAGGGACTATAATGAACTCGTATGCTGCCATTGGACTATCATCAAATCAATCAATGGTTTGTATGATAGTGAACTTAACATGTCCTTGTCCATAATATAACATACTATAATGGTTATAATTCTTTTTATATATTTTAGAAAGTGCTGAAAAATGTACTAAACTCTTACGGTTTAAAAAATAAAATCAATGGACATATATTCTGATCACTAACTCACTGCTTTATGAATTAAGTGTCAGTGCTTTCATGAAGCCAAAAAACTATAAATGTAGTTGTACCTCAGTCAAGGTTCCTAGCAGGTGTTAATGCTGTTGCTGCATCAGTAGTAAATCCTGTTACATCATTGGTGCAACAGTATTGAAGTAAGTTTTGCTATAATTAACTTTTTTGATGTAACTGGGACCTTGGCAAAAATGAGAAGATTACATTCTCATACAGCAGCCTTATTGTATATTGTCCTATCAATAGACGGGAACAGATTACATTCTCATACAGCAGCCTCATTGTATATTGTCCTATCAATAGACGGGAACAGATTACATTCTCATACAGCAGCCTCATTGTATATTGTCCTATCAATAGACGGGAACAGATTACATTCTCATACAGCAGCCTCATTGTATATTGTCCTATCAATAGACGGGAACAGGTTACATTCTCATACAGCAGCCTCATTGTATATTGTCCTATCAATAGACTGGAACAGGTTACATTCTCATACAGCAGCCTCATTGTATATTGTCCTGTCAATAGACTGGAACAGGTTACATTCTCATACAGCAGCCTCATTGTATATTGTCCTATCAATAGACTGGAACAGATTACATTCTCATTCAGCAGCCTCATTGTATATTGTCCTATCAATAAACTGGAACAGATAACATTCTCATACAGCAGCCTCATTGTATATTGTCCTATCAATAGACGGGAACAGATTACATTCTCATACAGCAGCCTCATTGTATTTTGTCCTATCAATAGAAGGGAACAGATTAAGGTAAATCCAGAAAAGCGCTTCGGACGCATGAAATTATTAAACGTGTTGTTTTCAATTTTTTACATATTCATACAGCAGCCTCATTGTATATTGTCCTATCAATAGACTGGAACAGGTTACATTCTCATACAGAAGCCTCATTGTATATTGTCCTATCAATAGACTGGAACAGGTTACATTCTCATACAGCAGCCTCATTGTATATTGTCCTATCAATAGTCGGGAACAGATTACATTCTCATACAGCAGCCTCATTGTATATTGTCCTATCAATAGACGGGAACAGATTACATTCTCATACAGCAGCCTTATTGTATATTGTCCTATCAATAGACTGGAACAGGTTACATTCTCATACAGCAGCCTCATTGTATATTGTCCTATCAATAGTTGGGAACAGATTACATTCTCATACAGCAGCCTCATTGTATATTGTCCTATCAATAGACTGGAACAGATTATATTCTCATACAGCAGCCTCATTGCATATTGTCCTATCAATAGACTGGAACAGATTATATTCTCATACAGCAGCCTCATTGTATATTGTCCTATCAATAGACTACAGAAATCATAACATATGCTCTATGCTTACTTTTTTCTAATCAAATAGACCTCATTGCTTTATAATATTTTTTGATCTCAGACTTATCAGTATGTCAGATTAAGGATTTTATGCAGGACAACTAATTCTTGTGTTTCAAATGGCTTACCCTCCTTAATTGGGTTAGTTTTCATAATAGTAATACATTTCTTATCAATTTTCCAGAATTTAGAATATACCAGATTCAAATAATTCCTTGTTTTGAGTTTAATTATATTTTCAATCAATTTTAGTCTAATGATTTTATTATAATAAGAAAAGGTCAGGATAATATAGCTTTTATTGGTCATGGAAATGGTAATAACTTTAAACAATAGCCTTCCCCCCACAAAAAAAAAACAGAAAAAGATAACAGAACAACAATTGAAATTAAAATTAATTTGAGGTCATACTCATAACAGTAAATGGATCTAAAAATGTAAAAAAATCTAACATTGAATTTTTATCATGATAAAACATAAGAAGGTAAATGATTATACTATCTTAATATTACCAATTGGAATCTGTGTAAGTTAGGTACATCTTTCCATACTAACTTTTAGTATATTTCAACCTTTTTAGGCAGGTTCTAGTATAATGATGTGTTTAGTCAATAATGGAGGAAAGATGACAGCTGAATATGGATATACAACTGGTCACAAATATGCAAAACTTGATGATGTAAGTATTGAAATACCTACTCATGAACATTTGAAATATAATGTCTATTACTGTGAAAGTACTTTTATTGGTGGATATCAACTTTCGTGGTTTGAGTAAAAGTTGTATGTTCATGGGTTCTTAGATTTGTGGATTTTAGTTTTCTGAAAAAAAAAAAAAAATAGTGAAGAATTTGAAGCCATCAGAAACGAAAATTCTGAAAAAATTATCATGTGTTATTTTATAATGATTTGTTGGACATTGCAAAATATGGTGTTCATTTTCACTTACTTGTTTGTCTTTCATTACTAATAACATTCATCAATTTTTATACGACCGCAAAAAAATTTTTGTGGATGTATATTGGTATGACGTTGGCGTCGTCGTCGTCGACGTCATCGTTGTCGTCCGAAGACACATTGGTTTTCGCACTCTAACTTTAGTTTAAGTGAATGGATCTCTATGAAATTTTACCACAAGGTTCAATACCACAAAAGGAAGGTTGGGATTGATTTTGGGGGTTATGGTACCAACAATAAAGGAATTAGGGGCCAAAAAGGGGCCAAAAATAAGCATTTTTGTAACTTCCAGACATAACTTGTGTGTTAGTGTATGGATCTCTCTGACATTGTACCACAAGGTTCCATATCACAAAAGGAATGCTGGGATTGATTTTGGGGGTAATTGCCTCAAAATTTTAGGAATTAGGGGCCAAAAAAGGGGCATAAAACAAGCATTTTTCTAGTTTCATGACAATAACTTGTGTGTAAGTGTATGGATCTTTCTGAAATTGTACTACAAGGTTCCATATCACAAAGGGAAAGCTGGAATTGAGTTTGGGGGTAATTGCCGAAACGTTTAGGAATTGGGGGCCAAAAAGGGGCCAAATAAGCATTTTTCTAGTTTCCAGACAATAACTTGTGTTCAAGTGTATGGATCTCTCTGAAATTGTACTGCAAGGTACCATACCACAAAGGGAAGGCTGGGATTGAGTTTGGGGGTGATGAATCATAAAGGGGTTCAAAAAATTTCGGGGGGGGGGGATTTTTTTTTTTTCATTTTTTTTCTTTTTTTCCTTTTTTTTTTCTTTTAAAATTTTCCTTTTTAAGTAGGTTATTTCTGATTTATATTTAAAAGCAAATAATAATGATATGGTAGGAGATACACACCAAACAGGATGTGTAAATTATTATATAATAAGTATTGTGCAATAGCAAGAAATTTTCAATTGCACAGTATTGCACAATAGCAAGAAATCTTCAATTGCACAGTATTGCGCAATAGCAAGAAATCTTCAATTGCACAGTATTACGCAATAGCAAGAAATATCCAATAGCACAATATTGCGCAATAGCAAGAAATTGTCAATTGTACAGTATTGCGCAATAGCAAGAAATATTTAATTGCACAGTATTGTGCAAAAGAAGATACTTCGTATAAATTGCTTATTTCTTGACCAATTTCAATGGGGTTTTATTCTTGAATTCTTGGGGTTCTTTAATATGCTGAATCTAACCGTGTATTTAGTTTTTGGATTTTGGGCCCCGTTTTTAAATTGGTCCACATTGAGGTCCAAAGGGTCCAAAATTAAACTTTGTTTGATTTCATCAAAAATTGAATTATTGGGGTTCTTTGATATGCCAAATCTAACCACGTATTTAGATTCTTAATTTTTGGGTCCGTTTTCAAATTGGTCTACATTAAGGTCCAAAGGGTCCAAAATTAAACTTAGTTTGATTTTAACAGAAATTGAATTCTTAGGGTTCTTTGATATGCTGAATCTAAACATGTATTTAGATTTTTGATTATGGGCCCAGTTTTCAAGTTGGTCCAAATCGGGGTCCAAAATTAAACTTTGTTTGATTTCAACAAAAATTGAATATATGGGGTTCTTTCATATGCTGAATCTAACCATGTATTTAGATTTTGGATATTGGACCATAATAGGTAAATGTCCAATTTAAAATTTTTAAGTTCTTAGACCACATTCATTCTGTGTCAGAAACCTATGCTGTGTCAAATATTTAATCACAATCCAAATGCAAAGCTGTATCAAGCTTGAATGTTGTGTCCATACTTGCCCCAACTGTTCAGGGTTCGACCTCTGCGGTCGTATCAAGCTGCGCCCTGTGGAGCATTTTATTTTTTATAAAATAATTGCTTTCAGAAATAAGTTGATTCATCTATGCTTACTAATTGTCAATATAAAATTATTATTCTCTTCTTGTATGAGAATTATAAGGAGGTAAAATGAACACTTCATCATCAAATATCAACACCAGAAGTCTGACTTTCATCGATCAAAACTACTTTTTCATGAGATTAAAAGGTTTTAATTCGTACAGTTTATGTTCTTGAAAGATTAAATTGGTAAAATCCTGTCTGAAGTTGTATATATAGTTCATAGTTTGATAGATGATATTTGATGTATTCTCTTGACTTTATGCCTGTATCCACGTTGTAAAACCTAGCCTACATGCCTACATGGGGATCTTCCCATATCTTGATTTGAACAACAGTAGTTTTATTTCGTTGAACACTTAAATTCGTAGACGAAGCCATCCACGAAAACTACGAAAATTGGTACCCCATGAATAAAAGTATTTTCACAGTCCTGTGATGACCATGTAGAATTGAGAATAAACAAACACACAGCAATACAAACAGTAAAACTCAGTTCAAAAGAAGTCTGAGTCAGATATTAGAATAGGTAACAGAAGAAACTAAGCAAAATGACAATGATCAACATAAATTAACAAAGGACTACTAACAGTTGCTTACATGCCAGTTCCAGACCTCAATTTAACTGAAGTGTTTATTGATCTGTTTGTCCTTTGTATTAGTATTACCATAAAAGAAGGGATATGGTATATCAGTTCATGACAAACATCCCACTTGACAAAACCTAAAGAAGTCCTAAATGAAATTTACTACCAGGTATTTTATTTTTAAGCCATGTTTTTTATATTTTGAAAAAACTTTATACATTATGTGCCTGTAGTTTACACAGTAAGATTTGGTCCCATTGAACTTGAACATAGGAAACACAGGTACAGATAATAAGTCGGCTTTTACTCCATTGTGACGTCTGGGAATTGGATTTTATCACCGTATATTTACATACACTGCAAATACATGACTGGTGCAAATGGTGTAGCAGGAACTGCTTATTTAACTCCTCCCTCCCCTGTCATTTGTCTGCATATTTTTTTTAATTGTGTAATTCGAATGCCATCTTGGATATCTTCTTTTTTATTTATAGATGCTTCCATCTCTGATTTTACAGTGTCTGAAAAGTACTGGTGCCACAAATAATACTTTTTTTCAATTTAAAATGGATTTGGCTGTTATTTGCCTTTGAATTAATCAGAAAAGATATTTCTTTGTGTCTATTTAACTGTTTTCTGATCACTGACTGTGCAAGACCCTCATGGGTAGTCAAGGTTGTTAAACGCCCCTTATGGTAGTTGAGAATTAGGGTTCTGTTTTCAATATATTTCTATGTTCACATTACTTTTGATAAGCATTTGTTCCCTTCTAAAGCTACATCAGCCATGGATCTGACAACACTTCCTTTAACTTTCTGTTCTGGTTATTTTAACATCAGCCAATGAATTTCAGCCTTCACATTTTTGATGGTATTAATCAGATAAAATCAGAGGATCCTGAAATGTCTTTAAAACAGAAAATAGAACAGAGTGTTTTTCAGATCCTTGTAAGCAAAGCTTGGACACAGGATCTGTATGTCAATCAGATTGATGCTGAGAGATATCAGTCAATTCCAAATGCAAGGAAAAGACCAATTACAATATAGATTTGGTGTGCAGAGTTCAAGGGATCACTGTAACCCCTATTTCCCTTTTGGACTATGTTTGATATTGGATTTATCTCAAAAATCATTTTGACTAACAAATAACTTATGTTATGAAAATTATGTTACAATTTTATCAAGCTAATTTCATTGATCTATGGAGAATTGCAGATATATGGGAAGGCAGACAACCAACAGTAAGTCAAGTATTCAGATGTTTTAAAGGCATATCATGCTTTGTATGTAACTTTTAAATGACTTTTAGTATGTTCTCCTGTTGTAGATACAGCATACACCAGTTTTGATTAATGGTAGCACTGGTGGTAATATTTTCCGTTGCATGATACAGAGAGACATAAATTTATCAACAGATAAAATATTTAGTCTTAGGAATGAATGGTTCCTTTTATTTGCCCAGGGTAATGTAACAAAAGGTAAAAATGTTTTATTTTTATTATTCACACTTTTAAGTTCGCCTTCCAAAGGAAATGTGAGCTTTTGCCATCACTTGGCGTCCGTCGTCGTCCGTCCGGTGTAAACTATTTCAAACATCTTCTCCTCTGAAGCTATTGAACCAATTCCAACCAAACTTAAGCTGAATGATCCTTAGGATATCTAGAATAAAGTTTGTGTTTTATTTTCTGTTTCCTTAGAAAACATGGCCGCCATGGCTAAAAATAGAATATAGGGTAAATTGCAGTTTTTGACTTGTATCTCAAAAACTAAAGCATTTAGAGCAAATCAGACAAGAAATTAAGGTAATCATTAGGTCAAGGTCTATACCTGCCCTGAAATTATCAGCCAAATCGGGTATCTGATTTTTAGGTAATTGCACCTGAATTGATGATTTTAAGGAAATTTTGCAGTTTTCAGTTATTATCTTGAATATTATTATAGATAAAGATAAACTGTAGACAGCAAAAATGTTCAGCAAAGTAAGATCTACAAATAAGTTTTTTGATGATCAAAATTGTCAATTGACCCCTTTAGGAGTTATTGTCCTTTAAAGACAATTTTTCACAATTTGTTCATCTAGTTTGCTTACTTTAAAAAAATCTTCTCCTTTGGAACTGCTAAATCAATTTCAGCCAAACTTGGCCTGAATGAGTTTTAGAGTATCAAGTATAATTAAATTTTGTATTTTATTTCCTTGTACGTCAAGAAACTTAGCCACTATGGCTAAAATGGAACATAGGGGTAAAATGCATTTTTTTGCTTTTGAAGAAAATATGACAGATACAAAGAACGTTTAAATGGCATTTTTAAGCCAATCATTAAGATATATTGAAAAGCAAAAATAATCATTGATCAAAGTTTTAAGCAAAAAATTACAGGTGAGCCATTCAGGTTCTTGAGAGCCTCTTGTTGTTTTCACAAATACTTCAGCTGCATGGCAAAATACTTTTTTTTATTGTATATGTATGAGGAAGCCAATATTTAAGTATATGACAAACAATCCGCTATATGATGTAATCTCATAAAATGGCATTCCTTGTATACCCCCCCCCCCCCCCCCCCAAAAAAAAAAGTTTCTTGATATGTTATAAAAAAGAAAAGTCATTAGTTATATTTAATTATTCTCTCAGTGAAAACAGACAAAACAGAGTAAAATGGTCGCCATTTTGTAATACTTACCAGTATATTAACAGGAATTCCACAGCATCATACAAACAGAACAGCCAGTAACTCTATGATTGACTTCCTTGTCAACTTCAAAATGGCTTCATATGAACCCAGGAATGAGGAGAATGTTCTTTTTACATCTTTGAATGATGAGAGCTTTCCAGTTGAACCAGATCAGGTACAGTAATGTGATAAAGACAAAATATACAACTATCACAAACTTTAAAATGATTTTTTATACTTGCACTTCAGAACTCTGTTATGAAAATTTTATTTTATTGTGTCTGAATTCATTATAAATTTCAACCAATTAGTACGCTATATTCAAGCCTACCACAGGGCATCATATGCGTCTAGTTATTTTGTTGGGATGCTGTCTCATTGATGGCAAAACCTATCATATCGTTCCTTTGAATAAGTGACATTTTCTTAACTCTATTTCAAATAGGTATTTAGAGAGTTAATGACAGATAGTGTGTGTTCATCATCTAAAAATTGTTTCACTAACTGTAAGGGCACTGAGTGTTCATATTTAGTTACCTGGGTACCAGATGGTGGAGACATGGTATTCAACATAACTGCAAAAGTAGAATCAGGAACAGGCAACCTGGCATGGATTGGCATTGGATTTTCCCCTGATGGACAAATGGTTTGTATGCAATATTGATAAAGCTTCTGGTTATTGAATTTTTTATTATGGCCCCACCACAAAGTGGTCAGGGCCATATAGTTTTACCCTTATCTGTCATTCCGTCATTATGCAACGAACAGTTATACAGATTTTTTTCTAAACACCTTTTTTTATTGGGCTGATTTTAGTATGTGAGTTTACGTTTGGATCGCTAATCTGATTTTTGCTGAAATAAAGAGCTTTGGACTTTGAAAATTTTATGAAAATAACAGTTATAAAGACTTTTTTCGAAATGCCAAAATATTGAGCTGATTTTTAGTATGTGAGTCTACTATGATTATAGTTGCAGATCTAGTTTATGTTTGGTTCCGCTCGGCTGATTTGTGTCGAAATTACAGGTTTTTGATTTTGAAAATAGTTATATAGACTTTCTTATCCAATTTCCAATCATAAAAGTGGCTTCAATCTGTTTTTTGCTATCCAGGCCATTTGTTTTGTACAGACACATCTAGTTTTTAAAGATAATTTGATTTATGTTGATTAAGATGGTGTTCTTGTGTTTCCTACACCTTTGCAGATTTTCAAAAATATGCTGTGATGCCAAAATGCAGACATTTTTTTAAATAGTCATGGTGACCAGAATGCAGTATGATATTGATGCCATGTAAAGAGTTCTTGTTTTATACTCCTTTGTTAATGTCATACAATACTATTGTCTTTAAATAATATTAATATCATGTGCCACTATTTCATCTATATCCAAATCAAATTTTTCATTAGAGTATATTTTAAATGATTTCTGGTTTATTTTCAAAGCTAACCTGAATTTAGGGAATCAAGCATAAATGCCAAAAGTTGGCCATCACTTGGCATCAGTCATTTCAATAATCTTCTCCTGAAAACTATTTGGCCAATTGATACAAAAGTTAGCCACAATCATCCTCAGAGTATCCAGTTAAAAAAAATTTGACGTATGAGTCATCCTGCCCAAATATCATCTTGAATATTGATTGAGATGAAAAACATCTGACAAATGTTCATAATGTCTATCTACTGTCTTTTTTATCAAAACTATCAAATGACTCCTTAAAGGTGTTATTGTCTGTTAAAGATGATTTTTATCAATTTTTGGTTGCATTCAATGGCTAATATCTTGAAAAATGTAATAGATAGAGAGAAAGATTAACTAGAAAAATGGTATGCTTGAAACAGGATAGAAAAAATGTTATAGCCAGGCATTTTACCTGTTTCTTACCCTTGAACAAATGAATTTTAAAATTCTGTCTTTGTAACAATGTTTTCTTTCATTTTTCAGGCTAATTCAAGTTTTATGATGTGCTTGAACATAAATGGTCATTTTAAAGGTGAATATGGAACATCACCACAACAATATGCAGATTATACTCCTTTGAAAAATGTAAGTTTCAGACAAGGTATTATTATTATTATTATTATTATTATTATTATTATTGTATGGAATTATGTGTTATGGATACATATACTTCACCATCAGTATATACAGAGTGAAAAGTTGACTTACTTATTTAATTTTTCGTGAACAGTATTTTATACTCTGATAACAATTCTTAGCTAATATTGCATATAAAGTTATTCTTTTTGTATTTACTGTTTCAGTATAGATAATTTTGATAAAATTTTGATTCATTAACTGGCATCAGGGGGGATTCCAAAAAATTGAGCCAGGTTGACTTTTTTCTATCCTCTTTTTAATCTCCTTGTAACTAAAGCTATTCAAGTCAATCACAGTAACCATCTCCTTGTAACTAAAGTCAATCACAGTAACCATCTCCTTGTAACTAAAGACATTCAAGTCAATCACAGTAACCATCTCCTTGTAACTAAAGGCATTCAAGTCAATCACAGTAACCATTTCATTGTAACTAAAGGTATTCAAGTCAATCACAGTAATCATCTCCTTGAAACTAAAGGGATTCAAGTCAATCACAGTAATCAACACCTTGAAACTAAAGGCATTCAAGTCAATCACAGTAACCATCTCCTTGTAACTAAAGGCATTCAAGTCAATCACAGTAACCATCTCGTTGTAACTAAAGACATTCAAGTCAATCACAGTAACCATTTCGTTGTAACTAAAGGGATTCAAGTCAATCACAGTAATCATCTCCTTGAAACTAAAGGGATTCAAGTCAATCACAGTAATCATCTCCTTGAAACTAAAGGCATTCAAGTCAATCACAGTAACCATCTCCTTGTAACTAAAGGCATTCAAGTCAATCACAGTAACCATCTCCTTGTAACTAAAGGCATTCAAGTCAATCACAGTAACCATCTCCTTGTAACTAAAGGGATTCAAGTCAATCACAGTAATCATCTCCTTGAAACTAAAGGTATTCAAGTCAATCACAGTAATCATCTCCTTGAAACTAAAGGCATTCAAGTCAATCACAGTAACCATCTCCTTGTAACTAAAGACATTTAAGTCAATCACAGTAACCATCTCCTTGAAACTAAAGACATTCAAGTCAATCACAGTAACCATTTTCGTTGTAACTAAAGGTATTCAAGTCAATCACAGTAATCATCTCCTTGAAACTAAAGGGATTCAAGTCAATCAAAGTAATCATCTCCTTGAAACTAAAGGTATTCAAGTCAATCACAGTAATCATCTCCTTGAAACTAAAGGCATTCAAGTCAATCACAGTAACCATCTCCTTGTAACTAAAGACATTCAAGTCAATCACAGTAACCATCTCCTTGAAACTAAAGACATTCAAGTTAATCACAGTAACCATTGAGGAATCAATGCAATGTATTTGGTCAGAACACATGAAATGATTATTTCATATCTTTGATATTGGTTCCATGAACTTACATTAAATTATACATTAATAGCAGTTCTATTAACTGACAGTACATAGTTGGAAGTTTGGAACACCATCACCTTTACTTTTGCACTTTACTCTTTATAAATGCAAATTGACTCTGATAAAAAATGTTTACTTTTGTTTAAATGCACAGGTTTTGCATGTTGACCTGACTGCAATCGAACTTAGAACTGAGATGGAATAAGTGAAATGTGTGTTCATTTTGCATCCTTGAGCTTTAGAAGTTTTTCATACGTTATTTCTTCAAGTAAATACTTGAAAAGAACATAAGATGACTGAATCAATTTTTTCTTTAAAAGTTTTCAGATCCATTGTTAAGTTTGATACATGGGCACGTTGCACAAATGAACTTATGTAAGCAACTTTATTCTAGGGGTTTTCACTCAAAAATGTTTTCATTTAATCAGCTTAAATTGTTTTGACATAGAAATCATTTATTGCAAAAAATATTTAAATGCAAACCATTTAAATTGAGAAACAACTTCAAAAATATTTATCAATGTCTGGTGAACAGGTAAACATTTTTATCAGATAACCAATTATAATAACCTTGATACATAAGTAGCAGGGTTCACCCTTCTTGGCCACTTGGGCAAAAATATATTTTTTTTGGTCCTTTTTGGTTATATAGCTCTTCAACTGTTTAGGTTCTTATACATCTTTGGCTTTCAAATATTCGGCTTTGAGCGTTCCTGATGAAGCATACCTGCCAACTTTTGAAAGTCCCCATGGGGGTTTTAGTGCGCGACAACAATTCTTTGCGACATATTTTGTGCGTGCTGTTTTGTGGTCTAGAAAAAGTGTCATATTTATATGATGAGCTCACAAGCCCTTTTCTTAAGTTTATTAGCATGATTCTAGTTATTATTAATATATCAGTAGAAAAGATGAATCTGTAGCTAGAAGACCAGGATTTATTTTCTTGTGTTAGGATATTAAATGATTGTTGATGTTTAAAATTTAAAATTATGCATAAAGAAGGACTTTTATCAGGTTGGGAACAACACCCCAAATGAGGGGTAACCCCTCAATGTAAGGACATTAAAAACCAATTTTAAGTACAAATGAGCACATATCTATAATATTTGAAGAAACTTTTCCTAAAGAATTATACATCTATCTGGTATTATATGGTCAAAACATGTCCAAGAATTCTGTAATGTTCCTGGATTTTTATCTTCTTTATTATTAAAAATAATTGGACCCCTCATTTAGAAAAGACTTTAAAGTTGTTCCAAATATAATGAATTTTCCCAATTTTAAAAATTTAAGTTAAAAAATCTTAATTTTTCTTTTTTCTTTTATACAACAGTCATTTAAGGGATATACCCTTCATTTGGGGTTTGTTCCGAACCTGTTTGTTTGGTCCTTGTGAAAAATGAAGTACAAATGTATAGTACATTGTACCTTAAATGATTTGCCCCATTTGGTAATTTAATTGAATACAAAAATGACATATGTTTCAGCAAGTGTAATGTCAATAAATTAGTGAATAAACTACTATTTATTATCTTTATGGTAGTACTGCATCATTGAATTTTGTCAGTCAGCCTTGCTTTTATTCTTAAGCTGTTTAAGAACCTCCTTGCAGATGAACGTTAACCTTCCATGTTCACGATTTTACAATTCTGACTAACACACAGAGGAATACAACAAAAGTTCAAAATCTAGCATGTTAGAATTATCTTAAGAGAATACGTTTTTGATTGGCTTATTAATTTGATCATGAGAAACACAGAATTTGATTGGCTGATCACGATTGTCTTCCCTTGGGAACAGGTCAAAATCGGGAACATTCATATTTTTTTGTGTAAATTTTCACAAAATCGTGTTTTAGAGGTTTTTTCACGATCACGATCGTGCAATCGTGACAAAGGGTCAAAATCATGTAGTACACGCCTAAATAGTGAAAGTTGGCAGGTATGATGAAGGTAAATCCAGAAAAGTGCTTCTATAACATGTTGTTTTTACACACCCGTTTACGGGACATATTATGGTATACTGTTGTCCGTCCGTCCGTCCATCGTGAACATGTCGAACAATAACTCAAAAACGCTTTTACCAATTTGCATGATACTTTGGTGAATTGTTTATATCTATTGACGTGAGCTCCCTTTCTATTTTTGTCAAGCCTGCGACTTCTGTCGCAGAGAGTTCGACATAGGGATAGTGATCCGGTGGAGGCAGCGTTAGCTAACTATTTAAAAGCTTTATATTTTAGAAGGTGGAAGACCTGGATGCTTCATACTTTGTATATAGATGTCTTATGTTATGAAGTTTCCGTCTGTCATATGTCCATTGTCCTTGACCTCATTTTCATGGTTCAATGACTACTTGAAAAAAAAAGATAAGATTTTATGTAATGTTAATTTCTCTTATTATGAGTAATGTGATAACTATATTTAGTATGTGCGTACCTTGCAAGGTCCTCATGCCCATCAGACAGTTTTCATCTGACCTTGACCTCATTTCATGGATCAGTGAACCAGGTTAAGTTTTCGTGGTCAAGTCCATGTGTCAGATACTATATGCAATAGGTCTTCTACATGTATATTTGGTGTATGGAATGATTGTAAGGTGTACATGTCCAACTGGCAGGTGTCATCTGACCTTGCCCTCATTTTCATGGTTCAGTGGTAAAAGTTAAGTTTTTGTGTTTTGGTCTTTTTTTCTAATACTATATGCAATAGGTCATCTATATTTGGTGTATGGAAATATTTTACTATGTACATGTCAGTCTGGCAGGTTTTATTTGACCTCGATCTCATTTTCACGGTTCATTGCTCAGTGTTAAGTTTTTGTGTTTTGGTCTGTTTTTCTTAAACTATAACCAATAGGTCAACTATATTTGTTGTATGGAATGATTGTAAGGTGTATATGTCTGTCTGTCAGATATCATCTGACCTTAACCTCATTTTCATGGTTCATTGGTCAATGTTAAGTTTTCATGGTTAAGATTGTTTCATAGATACTATAAGCAATAGGTCAACTATATTTAATGCATAGATTGATTGTAAGGTGTACATGTCTGTCTGGCATGGTTCATCTGACCTTGACCTCATTTTCATGGTTCATTGGTCAATGTTTAGTTTTCCTGTAAGTCTGTTTCTTAGAAACTATAAGCAATAGGTCTTTTGTGTCAAACACACTGTAAATTAACACCAATTACCTTAGCCTAAGGTCGAAAATAATTTGCAATAAGACAAGACATTTTATTCGGCGCGGGACATTTGCGCCTTTTCATAAGACATTTGCGCTTTTTTTAATGGACATTTGCGCTTTTACAATATTTTCTTTATGGTTAAAAGTTAAATATTCCAAAGCACATTCATGTTTAAAAGTCATTTCATAGCACATTGATATAGTTATATATACCAAAAAGTAAACATTATAAAGACATAAAAGACACGTATACCGGTAGTCATCATAGGTCAGTTATTGCTTGATATCTGAAGCACAAGGAATGAACAATTTTGCTCTTGTAATCTGTCGACTGGTATTTCGCCCTCATTTCAAAAACATATTCTAGTCTCTATTTCTCAATTCTTGA